GGCGATCGAGCCAGTGCGCATTTTCGAAATACGGAAGCTTTTAGCACACGTTTGCAAATTGCAATGCAAGTTGTTCTCAATTAACGCGTACTCTACTAAAACATCTTGTTTTTTTCTTTTTTTTTTATAAAATAAATGGAGTCGATAGAGCGGCTCGTAATTTCCTATTCTCGTTCCGTTCACTATCAGAGATAAATCAATTGACGCGGAACTACGTTATGGAGTCCGACGAAGTTTAAATGTAAAATACGTCCGCGATGCCGTTGCAGCACGACGTCCGTTTGATATCTTTCGACCGGTCACGCTTCTCCTTTTATCGGGATATAGATTCGCGCGAATTGATTTATAGCACGTTGCCGGCAGAATCTCCGCGCGTTTCCCCAAGATGAAAACATTTCTAGGTGGGATCGGCGCACGTCAATTTCACGGAATCGATCAGGCTTTTTAATTTTCATGGAAATTTCCAGCGACCTCCGTTCCTCTCACGACCCCTGGTTCGCCTCGGATTTTCCACGATTTACTCGATCGCGGTTTTCTCCTTTTTCATTAATTCCTGCCCGAAGACGAACGTTTGCGGGCGGCCCGTTACCTCAGGGGGTCAGTCGCTTCGCGGGAACTTTTAATGCGTATTTTAGAGGGCGGAACGCAGCCAGCGGAAAATAGGTCGATACGATCTCGTGGAAGTGGCCACGGGGCGCATTTATTATTGTACGAGTGGCTTTCGTACGATCGCATCGACCTATTTCCCCGTCGCGTGTTTACCGCCGCGAAATGACCCCGCTGAAAATGCGTCCCTCGCGGCCTTCCAAATCGATGGACAACCGACATAACACAACATACACCTTCAAAAATTTCACCATTCCTAACTATTCGTGGTCAGTCAAACCAAATTATTGTCCGATCGATTAAATAATTATAATAAATCGAGAATAGATTCAATGAAATATGATTTTTTCATTCAATCATGTTTTGCAACGTGCCGTAGAATTTGCAAAAGGGAACGTGCGTACCGATCGATGGCCGGTTCGCATTACCAGTTTCATTTTTTCCGATGTGCAACGATAATTGCACGCGTGCTCCCGGTAAATGAAGTACGAGCGAATTGCACGGATGAAAGGACACTCGAATTTTCTGGGTTACCGATGGCTTCGTTCCCCGGATCCTTTCGCGATGTAATAACGGCCGCGGGAAGTAGGTACTCTCGCTCGCTTAAATTATTAGAACGCTATAGCGCTCGCGGCTCCTCTTAAAGCCCGGGCAAAAACGTCCACTGAAATTTTATTCAATTGGACAACCGCGCTCCGCGGGTCAAGCAAAAATGCGACCATTTTTCGCCGACATTATACAGGTTTTTTTAATTTAAATAACGAATTGAAATTTCTAATTAAATAAAACTCGGTCGAAAAACATTAGAATTGTTGTACCACAGATTATGATCGTACTATGTAGAACAGTCAGTAAATAAATGTACTTCGTATTTGATGTAAAGTCAGTAAATAA